ACCTGCTTTTTCTACTTAAGAATTTTTTACAGATATTTTCCCATTTTAGTATATAACGATTCACTTCATTCTTTTTAATTGTTGTATTTAATATTTCATTAGTCCATTGTTAAAGGTTACTTGATTGTTTCCAATTTTTTGCTATTACAAATAAATGATACACTAAACATCCTGGAACATGTGTCTTTGTGTACAAAGGGTAACGTTTTATAGGGTGGATTTTTAGATATGGATTGAATTGGTAGGTATGCTCCTTTTGATACTATCAAATTACCTTCAGATGTCTATACCAAGAATATGTGAGAGATTTCCCCCTTTTCATCAAGATTATATAGGTTTTCAGTCTTCTAAAAATTTTGCCAGACTGATGAATGACAAATTACATCTCATTGTAATTTGTACTTTTCTGATTACTTTTTATATGTTTTTTGACTCCTTATTTTTTTCTTGAACCCATCTACTTTTTTCTATTTCTATCACCCTTACCCTTAGCCAAGCCACCATCTTCTCTCACCTCATCCACTGCCACAGCCAGCTGGTGTCCTCCACCCATCCACGTTCCTTTGCAACCCATTCTCTACATTGCAGCTGGAGTGAGCTTTCCAAAATGCAGATCTGATCACACCACCACAACTCATCCCCCTGCTAGACTAAAGTCACTTTAGAGGCATTACTTGCTATTATGAAGAAGATTGACTAAAATCCTTAATGTGGTCTTAAAGTACCACACACTCGAGTCCTACTTCCCCGCACAGTTTCATCCAAGACCTCACTCTCTTGTGCTCTTTGTGCTCCAGCCACCTTGTCCTTTCAGTTCCTCAGATGTGCCATGTACTTTCCAATCAAAGACAGCAAAAAAAAAAAAAAAGAGGCAGAAAACATAACAGAGAAGATAAAAGGCATGGAAGGATCTATCAAGAGATTCAAAATCTGATTACATGGGGTTTTAGATGAAGAGATATGGAAGTGAAATGAAAGGGTGGAAATTTTTTTTAAATAATAGAAGAAAAATTTTTAGAGCTGGGGGTGAGCGGGAGAGTCAAGTTACCTCTCATTTTCTCTTTTGTTTCCTCCAGGGTTGGCTGTTCTGTTTTTATAACCTGGTGCTTTTCTTTCACACTGTTATTTTTCCTCAAATATCTGGTGGGTTTTGGATAAAGGCCTCAGATGGTTAGTATAGAGAGCTGTTGAGGGTTTCTTTTGCAGTTTTATGGCCCCATTTTCCCCACAGACCTCTTCAGCTGAATTGGTGTGCTGTTGGCTTGCCCAAGGTAGGTGAGGTGGCAGCTCTCCCTTTAGAGTGCATGGATAGGAAGCAATGGGCAAGCTGGAGACCCCCTCCCTCCCTCCCCCCAGTTGCCATAGTAGAGCCTTAGTAAATGTTAGACAATGTTTCATAGGTAGTAACATTAGTGGCCACGGGTAAAGGATCGGTGGGTAGGCTGTCTGCTAGCACCTTCTATAAACCCTGGGAAGGGTTTGAGAGCTGTGGCTTCCATTGAAAAGGGTTGTAGAGGAAGTGCAAATTGTCAGGGTCAAGCTCGCCCAGACTTATGGCAAGAAGACAACATAGGGACCTAAGGAAATGCTGAGAACGCAGAAAGTTTGTTTCCCAAAGTGGTGATTTCTAACCTCAGCCAAGAGTTAGAATAACCTGGGAAACTTTTGTAAAATAGATTCTCGGGCCTCACCTCAGACTTAATAAACCTTTAGGAGATTGCCTGGCAATCTACATCTTTTGAAAGCTGCCCACTTCCAATAGCCAGACTTGGGATCTGCTGCCCTCAGAAGATGGAGCTGGACTGAACAGAAATTGAGAAATGGTAATAGGAACAGGGTCATTTTATGATTTCTGCTTCTGTTTCTACATTCATGTTTGACCTGAGCCCCAATTGTGAGCATAGTGCCAGTGCCCAGGCTGTGTCCACCTGACTCAGGTGTCCCCATGCCAACTCCTGTCTCTGGCCAGGAGGAAGTGATGCCCTCTGCTGGACTGGCCTTGTGTTTTTTGTTTTATTTTTCTGTGTCCTCAATGATCAGCCTCTGAGCTGTCCTGGGCTTCAGCATCTGTGCTAGTCTATAGCTCCGTGTGCCCCTCTCATCCTTTATGTTTAGGAAGCTTACTGGTTCCTCTGACTTCCCAGTGACCTTGCCTTTTATTGAAGCAGAAGAAGCGACTGTATTAGTTAAGGTCCTTTGGACTGGAAATAACAAAAGTCAACTTGGAATGATTTATGCAAAGCAGCTGAGGGATTTGTTAATAACAGACCACCACCCAACATTTGAGCAAAACACTTCAGTATCCTATTAAATATATTCTTTGAATGCTTGTTTAAACTTTTTCAGTAGAAAAGCTGATCTATGTATAGGGAGATGGCTGAGGAGTACTCAGTCTCTGCTGTGCTGTTCAAAGTGACTTAACTTTTAGCCCCCGAGGTGCATACTCACTGCGGAAAACAAAAGCACTTAACAAGACATCCCACCCCTGGTAAGTCTCATAAACAGCTTGGTGGGACACTGTTTAAGTAAACTCTTTGATGGAGTCTCCCCCTACTGGCGAATCAAAGTATTGCTTCCAGCTATGTGTAATACTCTCCCTCAGAGAGGTTCAGATTATCACAATTTTCTCCATTTTATTACATTTCGATTCGTGTTTCAACACTCCTTATGTGCCATTATAAGAAGCCTTTAATAGAAATCAAAAAATGTCTCATAGAATCCAAAGGGAGAACGCAGTCAGGCTCCAAGAAATGGAAAGTCATTTTTTGTTGTTATTTTGTTTTGTTTTTTTCCTCCTCTTATCTCTGCAGCTCTGTGCTCTCTCTTCTCCTTCATTTTTTTGCTCTTTCTGAAAACTGTTTTTTCTGTCCCTGAGGCTCAGATGGCATAATAGGGCCGCCATTCCTTCAAGCCTCAGGTTTACATGTCTTGTTCCAGCATCCTCCAAATTCCTAACAGAAAAACAATTATTGAACCAATTCAAGCTAGGGCCCTCTTCCAGTAATGTTTGTGGGCTGGGAGACATTCTCATGCAGTACAAATACATGTTCCAGAAGCCTTGCCCTAGGGAACACGGGCAGATACCCCCAAAGTGAGTCTGCTCAGGTGGCTCCATCTTCCAGAGTAAATATCTTTTCAAAAATCAGAGGATATTAACTTTCTGTTCTGTTTTAAAGGGCAAGGAAATCAGAGAAAGATTCCTCTTCCCAAATGCCCTTTGGTAGTTCCTGACTATAACTCATGATGTGGCCTAAATGGAAATGTAAGAGCACTTCTATTAGCAGATGAGATGCTCACATATAAATTCATACTCTTACCAGAATATGTTTCAAGTGCTTATAAACAAAAAATGTAAGGCATGTTAACAAGGTTGAGGTGGTTTCTTGTGTGTTATTGTAGTAAATAATTCTCTTCCTTGCCTAATTGATCTGCTGCAGCTTATCAGGATGGCATATCTTTTGAGGTATGTGCCTTGACTTGGTGTTGGAAGCCAGTCATATGGCTGGCTTGCTGTGACTAGATCAGAGCACTTCTGAGCAGGGACTCCCAGCCCCAAGTAGTGAGGAACGTTGTCACTGTCTTTCTTGATTGTACCGAATAGAAGTGCGGGGGGGGATGTCTCAGTCTTAGATGGATGAGTCTAAGACTACGACACCTCGCACCTGCCATTGGGCGCGGAGGAAAACCTTTCCCAGTGGCAAGGACACTTTTTCAGCACTTCACCCACATCTTCCCATTGGTTTTTCCCATGTAAACTTAGAGTGTGAGTTTTCTTAGTGGCAGTGATTTCATCCTGCCTCATACTGTCATAATTTGGTCCCTTGTTGACTCACACCGTATATTTTTGAACTTGTTTTTGGCACTGGGGGTATATTTGCCCATTTCTTCTTCCTCATGTCTATGTGCCTAACATATGAAAAGTGTTAAATAAATGTTTATTGGATTGAATTTTTCTAAAATAGGTCTTCCCCCTTCTCTCTCCATCACGTGTCTAAGACAGTTTCCAGAACCTTCCTAAAACATCTGGGGCTAACTTGGGTGGCCTGTAGGTCATTCTCAGTGGCTAAAAAATTGTTATATCTCAAAGAAATCTAATTATCTCTATTATGGTCATGACTGTACCACTCCTTTGCTCAGTCAACCATGGAAAGTACTAATCGGTGTCCTGGTTAGTAGGCTTTTAATTGTCAAACCTTTAGTATAAGGAATACGTAGTAGGATAAAAGGCTTGATCCCAGCAAGAAGGAACACCCTGCCTCTCCTGTCTTCCATTATTTTTTCATTTCAGACCCACCTTTAAGAGGAACTGCATGTCAGGGGCCTGCGATGTGTGCTGGCGCCCAGGCCCTTGGAGGCCCTGTACAGCAGCCTGTGGCAGGGGCTTCCAGTCTCGGAAAGTCGACTGTGTCCACGCAAGAAGCTGCAAACCTGTGGCTGAGAGATACTGTGCACAGAAAAAGAAACCAACTTCCTGGCGGCACTGTCTTGGGCCTTCCTGTGATAGTAAGTACCCTGTTCAGGTATCATTGCTGCCCCAGAAGTCTTGTCCAGACCAGACCTTGATGGTGCCTACCTTGTCAGTGTCACATCTGAGGGGCCTCTCAGAATGGATGTGGTCGCTTGGGACATGAGGAGACTAGATCCTTTATGTGGGCAAAAGTCAGTGTTCTCTAGAGAAAGGAACATTTGAATCAGTAGGGTGCCAGCAGCATTGGTTACTGCCTTTCCAACAAGCACCGGCAGGCTCTCCACCCACTGCCTGGTAGCCTCATCTGCTAAGTCAGAGAGATGGATGGGCTTGTATAGGTATGCAAATGTCTTATAAAATGTAGTCATATATTTATTTTTCTAGGGAGCAGGTCTGTAACTTTCATGAATTTCCCAAGGGGTCTATGACCCTGCAAAAGCTAAGCACTGCTGCTCTGAGAACTGAAAGGAGCAGCCTGCTCCAGTGGGGCTGTAAGGTCCCCAGAGGCCAGCAAGAGGCCCCTTGGCTGAGCTGAGAAGTGACGCCGAGGCACTTCTGACTCTAGTGAAAAGCAATGGCCCTCACCCAAGGCTACTTTCTTTACCTGACTCCGCGATCTCAATTTATGGCTTTTCATGAAATCAACTGATCTTTATTACTAGGTCTCCAGTGAGCTATATGTATTATGGATTGTTTTTTTCTCTTTTGTAGGAGTCTGCACAGACACAACTCACTACTGTATGTTTGTAAAGCATCTTCATTTGTGTTCTCTAGACCGCTACAAACAAAGATGCTGCCAGTCATGTCAAGAAGGATAAACCTTTGGAGGGGTCATGATGCTGCTGTGAAGATAAAAGAAAAATATAAAAGCTCTTTTCCTCACGTAGCTGGCTCAGAAACATGTATTTCTTAAATAACTCAAGATTCCATGATCAAAGAGAGGTTGATGCAAAAACATCAGTTAAAACTTTGTAAAGTGAAACTTTCCCATGGTTGGTTTTTAATTCCAATTCTTTTAGATGATGTGTTCCAGGATTAACGATGCCGTAGCACACATGCCATTGCATCTGGGACCTTATCATGTCCGTCTAATTAGGAAATCACCAAGAACATGAGCACGTCATCGTGTGCTGCCTCACTCCTGTGGTTTGTAGACGAGCACAAAGTAGTATATACTGAAGACTTGGGAAACACAGCAATTGTTTTGAAACTTCTCTCAAGTTGTAGGTTTCAACAGGTTTATAAGGTATTGATATTTTAGAAGCTCTGGCCAATCGTCGTTAAGATGATGGCACTGATGGTGTTTTCATAGATCTTTAAGTTTACTCTGAAAAAGAGACAATCTCTCTGGACGGGCTTGTTGACCCAAGGATTCCCAGGTGGGGGTGGAGGGTGTTGCATCTTGTCCTTGCGCTTAGAGCACCCACGGAGTAGAGATCACTGCCGTTCTCACAGCTGTAGAATTCTAATCTATCGGTGACCAAATGAGGCATCTTGGAAATCAAAGAAGGTTAACCTTTTCTACTGATTTTGAAGTCTATTCAAGCTTTCTTGTAAGAGCTGTGAATGAAACTTTTTCTAAACAAATACTACTCTCTTGCACACAAACAAAACATCAAAGCCTTATTAGACCTAATTTATGCATCGAATAGAATTCCTGAGGNGTCATGATGCTGCTGTGAAGATAAAAGAAAAATATAAAAGCTCTTTTCCTCACGTAGCTGGTTCAAAAACATGTATTTCTTAAATAACTCTAGATTCCATGATCAAAGAGAGGTTGATGCAAAAACATCAGTTAAAACTTTGTAAAGTGAAACTTTCCCGTGGTTGCTTTTTAATTCCAATTCTTTTAGATGATGTGTTCCAGGATTAACAATGCTGTAGCACACATGCCATTGCATCTGGGACCTTATCATGTCCGTCTAATTAGGAAATCACCAAGAACATGAGCACATCATCGTGTGCTGCCTCATTCCTGTGGTTTGTAGATGAGCACAAAGTAGTATATACTGAAGACTTGGGAAACACAGCAATTGTTTTGAAACTTCTCTCAAGTTGTAGGTTTCAACAGGTTTATAAGGTATTGATATTTTAGAAGCTCTGGCCAATCGTCGTTAAGACGATGGCACTGATGGTGTTTTCATAGATCTTTAAGTTTACTCTGAAAAAGAGACAATCTCTCTGGACGGGCTTGTTGACCCAAGGATTCCCAGGTGGGGGTGGAGGGTGTTGCATCTTGTCCTTGCGCTTAGAGCACCCACGGAGTAGAGATCACTGCCGTTCTCACAGCTGTAGAATTCTAATCTATCGGTGACCAAATGAGGCATCTTGGAAATCAAAGAAGGTTAACCTTTTCTACTGATTTTGAAGTCTATTCAAGCTTTCTTGTAAGAGCTGTGAATGAAACTTTTTCTAAACAAATACTACTCTCTTGCACACAAACAAAACATCAAAGCCTTATTAGACCTAATTTATGCATCGAATAGAATTCCTGAGGATTCTTATTTTGTAAAATTTATATGAAAGTAGTCTCACTAAGAAACGTGACTGTTGAAAAGAATTGTTTGTAGTCAATAATTGTTTTAATTTGAGCTGAATTTTTAGTAAATCCAAAGTGAATTAGGGTTGGGCTGGAAATTACACTTGGGACTAGGGGTTAGAGTTAACATTTGGAGAAGAGGGTTAGGGTTTTAGTTTTAGGGTTAGAGCTAGGATTGGGTTAGGCAAGAAAGGAAGTTAAGTTAGGGTTAAGGTTAGAGTTGGCTTTAGGGGTTAGGGTTAGGGCCTGGTTAGGTCAGGACTAGGTTGGGTTTAGATTGGGGCTGATGCTGGTGTCAGTGATAGTGTCAGGGTGGAGGTTAAGTTTGGAGTAAATGTTGCTGCTGAGTAGGTTTGGGCCAGAATTAAATTGTAAGTTCTAAAGCTGATTTGGTTATGGGAATCTTTCCCTCTTACACCACCAGTTATGGCTTGAGATGATACGCAACCCCAAATAAGTGGTCCTACTTCTTTGTTCATTGTCCCAGTTGCCTGTACACATGCTGCCTACAGCCTGTTGGCAACAAAGTTACCTGCAGCAGGTTGTGCTGGACCTAGTCCCTGGTCAGTAATAAGTGAACAGTGCATCTTGGCTTCGGATTGTCTGTGGACAAGCTCGCTGAGTCTCTCTACCATATTCTGAGCACCAGGTCTCTTTTGTTCTAACTTCAGCCTCACTGACACTGGGATGAGCACTACTGTATGTGGAGGGTTTGGTGGCTGGGAATGGATGTGGGTAGGTGAAGAGGACACACCAGCCCATGAGTTGTTAATCATCAATCACATTTGATTGTTGAAGGTTATTATATTGAAAGATCAATTGTAAAATACTCTTTGTATATATTTATTATATGACTTAAATGTGCAATATTTTATTTTGTACAGTATGTAATAAAGACATGGGACATATATTTTTCTTATTAACAAAATTTCTTATTAAATTGCTTCACCTTTGTATTTAAAGTTAAAAGTTACTTTTTCATTTCTATTGTACTTTTGTTATTCAAATGATATTCCTGTGTACTGTATCTTACTGTTTTTATAACATAAGAGTTAATGTTTCTCTNTGCTTCACATCCTTGACAGCATTTAGTGTTGTCATTGTTCTGGATTTTGGCCATTCTAATACGTGTGAAGTGATATCTCCTTGTTATTTTAATTTGCATTTCCCTGATGGCATATGATGTGGAGCATCTTATACTTATTTGCCATCTGTATATTTTTCATGAGGTTCTGTTAAGGTCTTTTTCACATTTTTTTTTTTCGTGACTGGTAAGGGGATCACAACCCTTGGCTTGGTGTCTCTCGCACCATGCTCAGCCAGTGAGCGCACCGGTCATCCATCTCCCGAGTGAGCCACAGGGTCAGCCCCCCATTTTATAAATTGGGTTTTCTTATTGTTGAATTTTAAAAGTTCTTTTCATATTTGGATAACAGTTCTTTATCAGGTATGTCTTTTGCAAATATTTTCTCCCATTTCTGTGGCTTGTCTTCTTATTCTCTTGACTGTGTCTTTTTTTTTTTTTTTCCTTTTTGTCTTTTTTCGTGTCCGGCAACAGATCGCAACCCTCAGTGTCGCGCCTGTACCGGACCGGGACCGGCAACGGGATCGCAACCCTCGGTGTTGCTCCCACACCTCGCTCAGCCAGTGAGCGGGAACTGGTCTGTGTGTGGGATCTGAACCCTCGGCGGGAGCGCCACCGCGCTCCCAAGCGGCGCACTGTAGCAGTGCGCCACCGGGCCGGCCCTTGACTGTGTCTTTTGCAGAGCAGAAGTTTTTAATTTTAATGAAGTCCAGCTTATCAGTTATTTCTTTCATGGATTGTGTGTTTAGCGTTGTGTTCAAAAAGTCTTCACCATTCCCGAGGTCACCTAGATTTTCTCCTAAGCCATTTTCTAGGAGTCTTATAATTTTTGTGTTTTGCATTTAAGTCTATGATCCGTTTTGAGTTAATTTCTGTGAAGGGTGTCAGGTCTGTGTCTAGATTCATTTTTTTGCATGGGGATGTCCAGTTATACTAGCACAATTGTTGAGAAGACTATCTTTGTTCCATTGTGTTGCTTTTGCTCCTTTTTCAAAGATCACTTAACTATATTCATGTGGATTTATTCCTGGGCTTTCTATTCTGTTCCATTTATCTACTTCCTGTTCTTTTGCCAATACCACACTGATGTGATTCCTGTAGTTGTAGTAAAGTTTTTGGTTAGGTGGTGTAAATCCTCCAACTTTGATTTCTCCTTTAATATTGTGTTGGGTATTCTGGGTCTTTTGCCTCTACATATAAACTTTAAAATCAGTTTGTTAATATCCACAAAATAACTTGTTGAAATTTTGATTGGGATTGCATTGAATTTATAGATCATGTTGGGAAGAACTGTCATCTTGACAATATTGAGTCTTCCTATCCATGAACATAGAATATCTCATGATTTATTTAGTTCTTCTTTATTTACTCAGTTTTGTAGTTTTTTTTTTTTTTTCCTTTTTGTCTTTTTTCGTGACCGGCAATGGATCGCAACCCTCAGTGTCGTGCCCGTACTGGACCGGGACCGGCAACGGGATCGCAACCCTCGGTGTTGTGCCCGCCCCTTGCTCAGCCAGTGAGCAGCCGGTCTGTACGTGGGATCCGAACCCTCGACAGGAGCGCCGTCACGCTCCCAAGCAGCACACTGTAGCAGTGCGCCACTGGGCCGGCCCTGTAGTTTTTTTCATATAAATCTTGTGTACATATTTTGGTAAGTTTTATACACAAGTATTTTATTTTGAGGGGTACTAATGAAAATGTTTTGTTTTTAATTTCAGATATCACTTGTTCATTGCTAGTATACAGAAAAGTGATTGACTTTGTATATTAACCGTGTATACAACCTTGCTATAATTGCTTATTAATTCCAGGAGGTTTTTTTGTTGTTGTTGTTGGCTCTTTTACATTTTCTACAGAGATGATCCGGTTGGGGATGAACAAAAATGGTTTTATATTTTCCTTTCCAGTCTCTATACCTTTTATTTCCTTCTCTGGTCCTATTGCACTAGCTAAGGCTTCCAGTATGATGTTGAAAATGAGTGATGAGAGGGGACATCCTGCCTTGTTCCTGATCTTAGTGGGAAAGCTTCAAGTTTCTCACAATTAAGCAGGATATTAGCTCTTGGTTTTTTGTAGATATTCTTTATCAAGTTGAGTAAGTTCTGCTCTATTCTTAGTTTACTAACAGTTTTTATCATGAATTGGTCTGCCCGTAGTTTACTGAGAGTTTTTATCATGAATTTATCAAATGCTTTTTCTGCATCTATTGATATGATCATGTGATTTTTCTTTTTTAGCCTTTTTTTTTTTTCCTTTTTGTCTTTTTTCGTGACTGGCAACGGATCGCAACCCTCAGTGTCGCGCCCATACCGGACCGGGACCGGCAACGGGATCGCAACCCTAGTTGTT